CAGGGAGGTGAGCAGCGGGCGGGTGGCATCGCGCCTTCGAGGCCTGGGAGCGCTGGGTGGGGCGGGGGGGTGGCTTTGTTGGGAAATCTCCATCGTAATGGCCGGTGCTGCCGTTATCCAGCTCCCCACGGTCCGGGCAGAGGGGTGACGCTGCGCTGAGCGCCCTGTTTCCCTCACCTCATGAGGGGCTTCGTTGTTGCCGAGCCCCCACGGCACCCCGGAGCAGCAGCCGTGCCCCTCCTGCCTGTACCACCCCCGTACAGCCCCCAGCGAGAGGCCTCGAGCGGTCGGTCCCCTGTGCTCACGCACAGCCAAAACCCAGGTTTTAGCAGGACAACTGTTAGCAGAGCCCTGGTGACAAGAAGACACCGCTGCCCCCTTCATTTTGCAGCTGTTCCCTGAGGTCTCCTTTTTCTTGCAGTTTGTGCTGAAGCACAAAGAGTTTGCTCATCTCCGGGAGGTGAAGATGTTTCCCAACGCCCTCAATCCACACAAGGAGGAGTCGCGGGCACTGGTCAAAGCCATGATTGACCAAGTCATGGCACTGCACGGAGACATAAAATGGTTTCACATCGGATGTGATGAGGTGGGACTCCTCTTGAGCCAGGAATTTTTTTTTCTTTTGAGGAATGGTGATAAGGGCTGAGGCTTCTGCATTTCACTGGTGCCCAGGCCACATTTGGGTAGGATTTGGGGGACAGAAAACACCAACTCAAACCAGTGTAGAAAAGTCTTTTTGAGTATAAATTATTCCAGTAGCACAGGATGTCATTTCTATTGATCTGAGTGTAGTATCAAAAGTATTGAATGCAGTTTCTTAAAGCTAACTCCGCATGTGGTTTTAGGTCAAATGAGTGTTTGAAGTGGGATATCAGTTGGAGGTATTCATTAAGAATCATGTGAGTTTGGATGTAAGATGTTGTTGTTCTGGCCAGTTTATTCAAAGTAAGCCCTTTTGTGGTGGGAAGTGGTGGGGTTTTTTCTCTTGGTAGTTTGTCTCCTTGAGAAGAAGAACCTTGAGTTTCTTAAACCCATCCCTATGGCACGCAGATCCCCAAAATTCTTTGTGATCACCTTAACTGTACTGATACCAGCTTAGCATTTTGTATCATGTTGTGTGGGAACTAATGGCAAGGTTTTATAAAGCTATTTTTGTATTTATATACTCTCCATGTAGAATAAATGTGGTTTAGATAAAACCTGCTCTAAAACAGCAAAGAGTTTTAAATGCATATCCAGCTTAACAGGCCTAAATCTACTCTGCGTGGGGCCAAGTACGCTGGGGCCACTCTTGGACGTGCTCCCAAGTTACTTCTAGATTCACGTACAGATGATCTCCTTCCCCAAGATGGAAACTTCATTTTATGTAATTCAGGACCTTATGGATTGCTAGATTTGCACTGAGTAAATCTGGTGAGAGCTATTTCCAAGGACAAACATTCCAAAGACAAATACAGCGTGCATTAATTATTCTTTAAATATTTCAGTTTCTATAGGAAAATTCCTTTACATGAGGCATTTATGCACGGCCACAGTCTCCTACAGACTGGTAGAAATGCTTGCAGTGTCTTCAGCACCAAGAGGTGGTTTTAAATATGTCCACGCAGTGTGTCACAGCTGTGCAATAGGTTCTGAATATCATATGATTTCATGACGCTGTGTCAAACTCATTCTCCTTATTCCGATTCAAGAAATCAGGATTATTTGCTTGTTATTTCAGGTTTACTACCTTGGCGAAGGAGAGGAGTCAAAGCAGTGGTTGCAGCAGCCAGGCAACACTCCAGAGAAGCTGTGCTTATCCCACATAAAAGCAGTTGCAAGTTGTGTGGCCTCATCTTACCCCACTGTGACGCCCATCGTGTGGGATGATATGCTCAGAGGGATAAGTGAGGAAACACTGGCAGGTGTGTGACCGGTGATGGGGTGAGTCATATTTTGTAGTGTACAAAAAAGTTTACATGACCAATTAAAACAGATTTGTTGGCAGCTGAAAATAATGAAAACAACAAATCTGAGAATATGATATGAGACATGATCCATTAGACTAGACAGTAGAGACATTTAGTCCTTGGCTCTGTCACAGACTTTGTGTATGACTGTGGGCAAGTCTCGGCACGTACACTTTAGTTTTCCATCTGGTAATACACAATGACAAACAAAACAGTCATCATGCAGTGGTTGCCATCAATTCTACTTTCTTTACACATTAAAAAAAAACCCAACTATTAGCATTTGTGGTCTCAGTCTAAATTTCTATGCCTCTCACCACCTTCTAATGTTAGTTGTTGCTCTGTGCAGCGTCTGGTTCCAGTGGTGCAGACTCCCACAGAGAAGCTGTGACCCTGTGAGCATCGTTGACAGTATATGTGATCGTAGTGCACATCATGAGGAACTCTGATACCGAGTTGCGGGGTAGCTCCAAGGCCTTGACGTGACAAGTCTCGTTTGTTGAAAAATATGAAACCACTGCTAAAATTTGAGTAGTCCTGGCATAGACGGAGTTCCAGCATTTTCAGAACCACGTTGCATGTCTGCTCTAAACAGATTTAGACAATACCATGAAGAGCTGTGTAGCTCTTCCAGCTCCTCCAGCAGCGACTGCCCTATTCATGGCTTTAATAGTGGGAAATCATTTAAAAAAAAAGCAAATGGGACCCGTGCATTTTCCACAAGAGCAGCACAGCATCTAGCTAAGTGCACTCTACTGCCCCAGGCAATAACAGACTAAACAAATTAAAATGGGATGCTGTTAAAATACTGAGTTTCTGTACAACTTACTGCAGTTTCTTTAGGGGTCAGTTTCTCATGTTTAAAACTAGCCAGGGAGTTGATTATAAAAGGATTTAAAGCTAAACCTGTATCTTCATTTGTACTTTAAAAGTCTTGAAAAGCTAAGTTCTATGCAAACACAGCTCAGACAATCTCTAACTTAAAGGGCAAATATTTCCTTTGATTTTAGCTGAAATTTTGTGTGTACGGTTTCCAACTCCACCAGTTCAACCCAGGAGGTATACCGATAGTTTTAGGGGACTAAGAATGAGGTGGGCTTGGGATGGATGGGTTCTCCGATGAAGCATCACTGCTGATCCATATTAGTGGTTTCAAGATGTCCAAGGACTTAGTGGCCACTGGCATGTGAACCCGCGGGTTCGAAGCCCTGGCCAGGCTGAAAATGCCCAGTGGCACTTTGACTGTAAATGAAGAATTGTAGAGACAAGCCATAGTTCTAGTCATGTGCTACTGCACCAATAATATGTACTTAATTGTCACTTTTAAGTGTCTGCTTTCCATTACTTAGAAGAACTCTGTTCTTTTCAGAGTCTGGGGTCCCACAGCTTGTGCAGCCAATGATCTGGGACTATGCAGCAGACCTTGACGTGGAGGGCAAAGGTTTGTACTTCTCTGCTGAGCTGCTTACAAGAAGCAAAGAGCTGTTACCTGTTAAGCAAAATAGCCAAACCAAAATAGTATGATTAAAACATAACTTAGTTGGACACCAAAAAAATGTATTCTTGTTAAATTGCTTTTTATTGCTTTAGTAGCATAAACATAGTCCTTGTTTGATTGCACATAATAGTTGCTATTATTTATTTTATTTTTCTATTTACGCTTCCCCTATGAAGGACTAGTATTGTCTGCTGCTTAATTCTGTTCAAGTGGGCTATGGAATCACCGATGGGAGATTGAGAGGTTTTTCACAAGCACTGTCACATTAACTCTCCTTGTAGTAAAACCGGTGGGAGCAGATAGCTCCATTTTGAACAGCTCTGCGAAAGAAGCTTCAAGGCTTCAGGCATCTATAGAATTCAAAGGAAAAACTCCGAAGGGCTCCAGTCGGGCATCTAACATGCATACCAGTATTTCTTTGTTGAAAGAAGAATCGGTTGTCGGATGCTGTGCATGCTCGTTACATGCCCATGGCTTGTAGCATTGAAACAATTTAGCAGTTCAAGGGAATGGAATATCGTAACTGGGCACGTGAAAATAGGAGGGCAGCAGTGAAACGGGTTGCTCAGAGAGCGCATCAAATCTCCCGTCCTTGCTGATGCTCAACACCTGACGGGACGAGCTCAGCAGCCTGTGGTAACTGGAC